CCCCGCCGCAGAAACAAATGTGAGTCAATATAATGAAAGCAAAACTTCTGAAATCGCAAACTTAAAAAAGCAACGGAGCAAATAATTTTGATTATTATATATTTATTTATTTATTTTTTATAAAATGCTAATACTCGTGCTGTGATTGGTCAGCTGTGTGGACGTAAGAACAAAGCCATGATTCTGTATAGATCTGTTTATCTATTCTTAATGCAGCTAGCGTTGCTACTTTTGATTGTGATCTGTGAAGTCCATGTATTCCCTTCTAAAAATACCATCTCAATATTTAAATGGTATTGTATGTGCCCGCTCTCTAAGACAGTGAGCTTTCCTCTTCACATTAGACTGAGGCTGCTCAGCAGAGCTATTAACACTTTGTTTTATATTATAAGACACTTTGAAAGCAACATCTCTCATTTTAATCATGGCAGCTTTCTACAGTGGCACCATACAGGCTTTTCTCCGTGCATAACCACAGCATAATTTTTGGGTTTGGATCTATTTTTTTCTCTTTTAAATGAATACAGTCTTTGTGGAGCTCAGTCTTAGCACAAGCAAGTACTCTGCCAGAATTTTAATGTATAATAAGTGTTAAATATATACACACACACCCTTTTCTCTGTGGTAATGTAGAGGTGGCTCTGGCTTTGGTCAAGGAAAAGGTTCTTGTTGACCTTGTCTCCTATGTTGTTGCCAACATAGGAGTACGGCTTGTTGCCATATTCACCTGGTCTCAGGTGTACCTGGACAAAATAAACAAAAGACAAAAGATAAGAGGTTTTAAATTCACTTGATACACCTTCCCTCAGATAAAAGTTTAAACTGAGGGAAAAAATATCCAACAAAAAAACCCACAAGTGAACTCAACCTTGAAGACCTCTCCGTTGGCGCTGCCCAAAAAGGCGATCGTGTGGTCATTCTCCACAGCAACAGTTACAGCAGTCAGATGGACCGACATGGTCAACACTGCATCTGCCTTTAAGGCAAATGCTGGCTTGCTTGCCAGAGGCGAAGGCAAATGCTCTGCACCACACTTGAAGTTTCCCAATGCATCCTTCTGTAAAGGGAAAGGATAACAAGAAGGGACGATCAGACATTGTTTGCTTTTCACTCCAAAAACATTAACTGTCTTTGCAGTACTGTTCGTATCCTACTTAAACTTTATAACAGAGATGGGAAATGTGCTTTGAACACTCGACCATTTTAATCTACAATCTAAAATTGGCTTTGTTTTGACTGATCATTTCTTTGATTAAAATAATAAATAAAAATTACAAGTATTTGCTTTAGAGTTGGAAGTCTGAGACGAGAACAATAGGAAAACTCGTGTTAATAATCACTTAACAAGAAACTAGTAATACATGCAAGTAAAAAATGTAAAATAACCAGTTAAGTTGGGCCATAACTAAAAAAGTCTTTGGCACATGAAAATTGTTCCTGGAATACTTATTTCTGAGTAGGTACTGATCTCGGTATTAAGCTCAGTCACTCTCTAAAGTAAATACCCTACAGCTGCAGACCCTATGGTGGGAGCTGGAGATGTGAAACAGCTAAAATATCAACCAGTGGTGTAGGGTAGCAGCGGTCTTGACATGTCAGAGGCAGCAAAGGGAAAATTTTAAAACATGAATAGACCGCCAAATTTGACAGGTGTATTTAGTACATGGAGAGAGGCGAGTGAGCCATATTAAAGTTAGGCCTATAACTTGAACAAAGGCGTAATTTTGGTGGTTTTGTCTTTCTACACCACCAAGGCAGGTTTTAAATCAAACAATCAATATGTGATTGAAGTTAAACTTTAAGCTTTAACTGAAGGCATTTTAGCAAATCTTTGCCAAAACTTCTTCGGGAATTTGAGCCATTTTTATACACAGTCCCCCTTTTTAGAGGTTTAAAACCAACTGGATATTCTACTGACAAGTAGTTCCAGGTGAGGCCAGTTCCCTTGTTACTTCATGACAAATGAAGCGGACGTACTATTTGAAGGTGGTTTGAAGTGTCGAATTTACATTTTATAGCTTTTCTTTCTAATTGTAAATAAAAATGCCCAAATACATGTCAGTGCAAGTGAGATAGGCTAACATTCAGCTGAAAAAATAAACCAGAATCTGGCGACCTGTCCACAGTGTACCCTGCCTCTCACCCTAAGACAGCTGGGATAGGCTCCAGACGCCCCTCACAACCCTGAAAAATGATAAGCGGAAGCGAATAGATGGTTGGATGGACAGAAATAATAAAAACTTCAGGAATAAATTTTTTTTTTAAATCTGGTACTTTCTTAGAAAATAAGGAATGAAATGGCCAGCTCAGCAACACATAAAGACCTGAGAAAATTTTTTTCCATAGATAACATCTAAGTCAAAAACACCCAGGGGAGGTAGGCATATCACGACACCTCCATGAATGGGAATAGAACAAGGTTCAAACTATCGGTTACACTCAAGAACAGGAGGATCAGATTAAACTTTGCCAAAGAAAATCTGAAAGAGCCTTTACAGTTCTGAAAAAAAAAATCTTTGGACAGGTGAAACCAAGATAAACAGCATGTCTGTGAAGGTTCTCAGTCATCCAGGTCATCGTAGTCTAAAGAGCTTGGAAAGAAAAGCTTTCTTCTTTAACCCTGGAGAACCCATGGGGTCAAATTTGACCCCAATGGGACCCCATGGGTTCTCCAGGGTTAAGTTGCTTGAAGACGTTTCACCTCTCATCTGAGAAGCTTCTTCAGTTCTAGGGTCAAATGGTGGAGAGTCCCAGATTTAAAGAGAAGTGAAAGAAGCCATCTGTGGCGGAGGTGTGGTCCCGGGCGCGGCTGCAGGGGAGGAGTGGTGCAGTGAGCTCAACGGGGCGGTGCTGGAGACGCAGGTGAGAACAGCTGATGGCGTTTGGACTGATGATGGTTTCCCTCCCCTTTTATAGTGAGACGGGAGAGGAGCGGAGGGAGAGCTGGAAATCAGCTGAGACCAGAGCTGTCAGACTGTGGACGGTCATAACAAATGAAAACTAGAAATAAACGTGGCATCTGGCGACAAACAACTGTGCGTGTGTGTACGTGTGTGAAGTGCATTTCACACCATCTATGTCCACTGTGAACAGCCATCTTTGAACAGAGGTGGTGGCTTGTGACACCAACTGTCTGCCATCTATAATCAAGTTTTGAGATCCCTTCACGGCCACTCGCATCCTGGGCCATCTGACCTCAAGAAATCACATGATAGGGTGGGGCTAGGTTTCACAATGAGCTCATCCGAAACCTTGGCTGATTGTGACCTACACTCGTTATTACACCTTGGCTTGTGTGATTAGAAAGAGAATTGTCCCTTTTGGGGGAATCCTCCCACAGGGCTTAAATCTGGGACTTTCCACCATTTGACCCTAGAACTGAAGAAGCTTCTCGGATGAGAGGTGAAACGTCTTCAAGCAACTTAAAGAAGTCCAGACGCTTTTCTTTCCAACCTTCTTAGACCAAGATTAACAGCCTGAATCAGAATGATGGGTAGAGAAAAATATGGAGAGGTGAGAAACAGCTCATGATCAGAATGGGCATGTATAGCTGCCACTGAAACTGGGTCACTACTGTCTGATTACTGTGACTGCTGATTGAAACAGAAACAGAAGGATGAAATGTGAAGTGTACAGGGCTATACTCTCTGCTTAGATTCAGACAAATGCTAAACAAA